CATCTGTTAGTGTTTTAATAATTGTAATGGAAACGCCAGGAATAGATCATTTTGAGCCGTTTGGTAGTTTTAGTGTTAATAAGTGTTCCAACCGATGCTGCATATCGATAATTGCATAAGCAAACACGACTATAGCCAAGACTGGTTGACAATATGTTAAGTTTGAAATAGATCTGGGCGAGGCGTTCCATTTATTAAAGTTGGCGAATACATAAACGTTTGTTTCTTTTAATAATGTCGATTTCATACACGATGTTTACTTTTCTTGCCATTGTGTGCGCAACTCATTGTTCGGATAATATAAAAGGGTGTGTACCTAGATGAAGGGGCGAAAAGTGTCCTTCAATCGAATTAAAACGAGTGATACTGTAACAGAAAATAATATTTTGCGCCGAGTTTCAACCCCCTCTTCTATCAAAGAGGGTAGTCAAAGAGAAAAATTGGAATACACTGTGTTCTGTTACAATATTTCTGTTTATTCTAGTACGAACGAAATCTGAAAAAATCTGGCGCATTGATAACGGTTATTGAAACGAATATTAAGAGCCCTTTCAAATTTTTCGTTTGAAAATTCTAGTTACAAAGAATGAAAGGAGATTGAAGCTGGAAAATCCCAGGAAAACTTTCTAAAGTTCACAAGGTATACCAACGATGAAAATATCGAAAGTTCATTTTTTTAAAAATTGTTCAAAATGAAATTTTGTTTATAGATCATCCTATAAATTCTCGCGGTTTTTTAAGTCAGTATATCAAATGATTTTAAATAGTTCTATATCTAATAAAGTGGTATTACAAATTAAAGAAGTTAAAATTGATTCAATTATAAATTTACAAAGTGCATTACGCTTTGAAATATCTTTTGTCTTTGGGAGAGCGTAGTTACTGCGGTAAGATGAAACCGTCAATCAATATTAAAAATTGATAAATATTTACACTGATATTGAATTAAATTTTATAAACCTTTTCACTCATTCTTTTAGTTATTTAAAACCGCGATTAAGCTGGAAACTGGGTCCGCGATATTTTCAAAAAAATTGAGTACACCTCCGGGACAGATTTAATTCTCTGAAAGGTGCTTCCGGGAGCTTTTCGAAAATGCATCGCGACCTTGTCTGAAGATGTCTGTCCACGGGAAACTTTCTTGCGTTGCCCGGAGCGGTTTGACGTTCGCTGCAACGGAGAATTTTCGTCGATAAAAACTTTTCGCGTCGCTAAAGTACGATATAAGTAACCTGAAAAATTGTTCACGTTCTCAAAAAATGAAAAATAATTACATTACTTCTCATACACTTTATATATACATGAAAACATTGAATTCTTATGTTTATAAATTACAAACTGCAAGATATACTAGGAGTAAACGGACTTTTACTTAATTTAATATAAATCTCTGTGAAAATATTAAAGTTTCATACGATTTATTAAATAATATGACATTATAAATATTATTAATAAATTGAATAGCTCGGAATTAATACTAACTATTTCTGAATTATCGAGAAAGAGATGTTTTCGTGAAATGTCGTTCGATGGGTTAAATACTAATATTAAATTCAATGATATTAGTAATTAATAACAGTAACATTATTCGTAACCTTACAGTTACTAATATTCATAATTGCTTAATGGTAATGGATATTCGTAGTAGCGTCGTAAAATATTAATGTATAATTAAACCAAGAACATTTCGCAAAAACTTTTTCCAGTTCGACCACTGTTATTATGAACCATTCGATTCTGAGTGTTTATGATCGTTTCTTTTTTTTAATGGCATTACACTGAGACGAACAGCTGATGGACGGTACCGATAAATTGGAAATTTACATAAAGTGGGTAATTAGACTCCGAAGGCTTTTTACGAAATATGGTTAGATGACTATTATTATTAAGCCGTACTGCGTGTGCAAGGCTTTTCAATAACTCTAATAGGGTGACGCATCGAGGGTTAACTACGACTTATGCCATGATCGTTATCTAGTATATAGAGAACTCTTTGTGCCCCGACTCGTTTTTATTAAACGACTATAGACCCAATAATTTTTATAGATAGCTAGTTACAGCGTATGGTGGCGAGGACATCGAACATTAATAACGGAAATAATTATGTTAGTAAGTATTAATAAATATCACTTCATAAATATTAATAATAATTCGTATAATTTACTTTTAATTAGGGCGCACTCACGATGATTTTCCTGTAATCAATGAAATGTCGCAATGGAGCTGTCTGTGATTGTTCTACAAAATAAAAGATATATTCTCTGCAAGTGTTTGTATTTATAAGACTCGTTTTTAAGTAACTCAATTATTACACAAGGAGTTTTAATTACTTTCAATTCAATATATTTGTAGTGAACGTACTGATCATACATTTACAATATGATGCCAATAAATTGAATAGAAGTTTCTGTATTGTATGTTTAATTAATATTTTATGATTGTATTAAAATAAATAGTAATTTTTCATTTGCTAGAAATTTGTATATAATACAAAATATTATGGTAATTTTTTCTTTCATGCTGAAGAAGTTTTGGCTATTGAATATTATTATTCATTTACTATTGAATATTATTCTTCTTGTCTATCATTTCTTTCTCAATTATAATCGATACAATTGCATTGTCATTAATGATTTATTGAAAAATGGAGACAATTTCTAGATTTATTCTACGCCTACAGTTTCTGTTTAATAATTACAAAGTTAATAATTAAAATTTATTAATTAAAAAGTACAATAACCGATAAAAGGAGACTAATATTTGATTTGAACTGAAAAGAATCGAGTGATATTTATATTGGTTCAATTCTGTTTGGAATCTTAATATGACGATTAACGAAGCAATAACTCTTGGGAACATATGTAACTATACTCCACGGATCGATAGTAAAAGTATTCTGAAAGTAATCAATCACTTCTTTGAAACGAGATGCGCTGCTATCGATGTCGGGAAACGATATTCACAGCGTGGTAATTACGCAGATTTGTTTCTCAAGAACTAGCGAGAGATCTCGTTAGTACTAGACTATCGTGTACCGGAAGCAAGCTGCAACGTAGCTGTTAATTAAATCATCCGTGAAGCAGAATAATAACAAGTCGAATGAACAACGATAGTACCCTTTTGTGTGAATAATCATTCTGCTGGTTCAGGTTAACAAAAATTACACACCGGATACGTATCTAATGCTTAGAATCATTAAACTATCTAAAATACTAATAACAATACTAAATATCTATTGACAATACATTTATTCTTTCGGAGCATCTTTAAAATATTACTTGGTAGCACTAAATAATCATTACAGTCATTATTGTCTATAAGTAATAAATTATACTAATTATACGAATTTTTCAGCAAATATTTAAAATTCAAAGACATCTAGTACATATTGTAATTTTAAGTTACACTTACTTGTTTTACAATTTTCCAGCATCTACTATCTAGTACTAACAAAATATTATACATAAGAAACCTAACGTTTGTCTTTACTTATATTCAATATCTATAAATATTTTTTACGACACAGTAATGCAATTGCAACTATATCTTTACAAACGACATTAAATACACAGAATTATAAAAATGAAGATGGCGAGTCACTGTGTTAGTACTTAAATTAGTTAATTGAAATAAACAGTTTCTGGTCAGAGACAGTCCCATCTTTCACATATTAGCATCTTAATTAAGTAGTGATACGACTGGGAGATTACACAAGCCAATATTGAAGAGACATCAGCCATGTCAGATGGAACATTCTCAGGCACCGGTTGCTCTATCAAGATATTCACCTCCGGGCATTGTATCATTATCTAACTTCTGTTTCAAATGCTGAACACATTTTGCGATATGATAACCTCGTCAAATCAAGTAGCCATTAAAAAGCTGTTGCGACTGTAGCAACGTTCAATGAGAAATCGCAATGTAAATACTTACGTAGATAGTTTTGTATCGCGCTTCAAATGAATTTCTTTTATTATTTTACCGTTTTAATTGCCTTACAATATCCAATCAGACTCGCAATGAAGATATATCGGAACGAATACAGCGAATGCAAATATTATTCGCTTCTTTTAAGACGCAATGAAACTCTTCTTACTTTTTATCAATGCTCGAGCTTCATGGTGAATGTGGACTAGCAATGAACATAAAAGTCCTGTTTCTCAGAGTCTCCCTTGAGACTTCCCTTCGTCGTAACTCTTTAACTACGTAAAATAATGAAAATATGCGAGCTAATACTACTCGATGCAGCTCTACGGCAAAACGAAAATTCTCGTGTTGCTCCGTTAGCAAAAATCTGCTATCACATCTCTTCTATCTTCAAAAACAAAGATAAATTTCTTTTTTAACACATTGCGTACCGGCTAATTTTCAGAAAACTGAATTGTGATGGCAATTTTCACTGAGGTCAACTTATATCACTATACCTGGAAAAACTCAGATATCATATTGTTATGTAATATATTTTAAATGATCAATTCGAATTATATAAAAACGAGATTTCCGGACATTTATTGTAGTTTATTCTATTGTTCCTAAAGATCGATGTTCGTCCGTAGATCTAGGAAATCAAATGCTTAAAATGTATTATTAGGAACCGTAATCACATAATTGAATCGATCAAAATAGACCAAATTACCAAATGTTTATAAAATTCAATACGAGTCAAACTGGCTCGTTCCGTGAGCCTAGTGTTAAGTAATTATAATGTATTGTCAGACAATTCATAGACAATTAGACAATTTTAGATTAGAAATAAAAGCAAACCAAAGTAAATAAGTGAATTTGTCGAAATGTTCTTTAACATTTACCCACGATTAGCAACTGTAGTCAGGAAACTAGAGAAGTAACAGAGGGATGCAGTTCAACATTATTTTTTCAGACTTTGTTATTATTACGATCTATGATCAGACATATAGGGACGTGCTCTGACGTGAACGTGTTATCTAGAGTTGGCGAGAGCGAGGTCAAAAGATTAAAAAGAATCGGCGACACGAAAACTGCGTAGCCGTCATAAACTCGCGGATCGATCACATAGCGGTACCAGCCAGTACTCTGAAATCTACAGCCCGACAAGGTGAGTATATCATGTTCCTGAATTTTAAAGCTCTTAGATAACTTGTAAAAGTTTATGGTTATCTGGCTTTCAGAACGCGCGCGTACATCGTACCCTCGTTTCCGCAGAATTATTCACCTTTCCGCCGTTCCGACGTTTCATTGACAGAATACTTATCGAAACTAGTGGTACTTCCTCAACGAGCTGTACGTTTGGAATGAATAATTTTTGAAAAACACGAATACCAATCGAAATGCAGGAATTGTATAACGCGTAATGTTCAAATATTACGTGGGCTCTGAACACAGTTTTTAGATGAATATCTGGAATTTCGAATTGGTGGTTGATCAATGAATTGTATATTTCAAATGAATTATTTGAGACAGATGCAAATATCATTCGAAATGCAGAAATATATATATATATATATATATATATATATATATATATATATATATATATTTGGTTTTGAGTTAGTGGTTGATTAAGGAGCTTAAATACATTTAATATAAATATTGAAAGTAAATTATAAACGATATAGATATCGATTAAAAAGTTCTAACTAGATATCAGTCAAGACAGAAATGGTAAAATACAGAATATTAAATAACGAAATACCCAGATAAAATATTAAAGAATCATTTCAAATTTGACGAAAATTTCCTCCTCGAATATAAAGTTTCACATCAAAAAATATTTTAAAACCGTTCAGGTGGCAGTAATAATAAAAATCTCAACTCTTATTAAACTGTCTCCCGGAAAATACTGCTGTTCCGTCAGAAAGTGTGGTGCTCGTTAGAAAAACGAGAAATGAAAGGAAAACTACGTGATATTTTCTTGATATAATCCTCTTGAAGGTGCACGGAACGCTGTCGAGCGTCCTGGAAATGTTTTTAGGTAGGATTGCGACGCGTCTCGCCGATACACAGTCTGGAGACAAAACGGACACTCTCGAAAATGAGGATTTCTGGAAAGAGAATGGGAGAGCAGACTATAGGCGCCCGATGCGCCCAAGAAAAAGTATTATCCTTGAAACGTGGCATCTTTTTCAGAATCCAGTCGGAACGGAGGATCCGCGCGCGCGGAGATAAATGCAGCCGCTGCACGATGGCGCGTTTGAATCGGGCGATTCGCAAAGGAAACACAATGCAGCCCACTTGCATCGGAATTAAGTAAATGAAATGAATCCTTCGCGAACAAGTTTTCTATTTCTTGCTTGAATTCTGGGAAGTCGTTCGTTGAAGATCAAATGCATGGTGGAGTCAACAAGAATAGAATGTAAAATGATTCTTGTGATTTTAACCCTTCGCACTCGAGAGGCGCATTTCAGTCGCCGTTTGATTCGATCCAAGAAAATGATAAAACTTAAAATTCAGTATTAAATTTTTATATAATGCACATGGAACATCGAAGTAAAATAGTTCTGTCACTTAATTTATGCGAGCTATTTCTTTATGTTAATTGTAAAAAATATCACTGACATTTCATCAGAAAATAATGAATATTTGCTGAGAAAAATATTCTCGAGTGCGAAGGTTAATAATTGATTACATGATAATTTAAGTTATACAGTATACTGTACGTATTGTTTATTATACCGTTAATTTATATTTATTATTATTCAATAACTTAACTGATACATTATAGATATTATAACAGTATAACTTTAATAATATTACAAATTTGATGATATTAATTTTATATTATTACACTAATATTATATAAGATACAATATTATATAAAATACAATATTATAAATATTATTAAAATTACGCTATTATAATGTCTGTAATGTATAAGTTAAATTATTAAAAAGCATATCTGTTTTGAATTGACTAATACGATTTCATTTCAATGAATATGATTCCTTCCTTGTCCTCATTTATTTCTTTAAATGAATTGATATTGTTATTTTGTTTTTTGACAGGAGTATCTCGACGTTTCATAAGCACTGCGGGGAGTTTCATCGGGTTTCATACAGCACATTCATTTATCACAATTGAGACGCTAGGTGCAATAAGGATGCGAGCACAAAAACCTGATTCAGAAAGAACAGCGTTCGAAGAATAGAAGCTGGAATTGGTTAAATATCTGCAATCACGGTATACACAATTTCTGTGACTGGCGGAATGAACGCTTCAATTTTCAATCTCATTTCTGACATATTTGCTGTAATATTATAAGCAAAAGAAAAATGAAGTTAATCTCTTTTTACAGGCAATCATTTCACAGAACAATTTATTTTACGTAATTTTCAGCATTAAAGAATAACATTAACATTTCAAATTCTTTCTTGTATCTTATTGTTAGTTGTTCCTTTTTCAATTGTCTTGGAAATGTTAAACATCCATTATTACAAGTTTTATTAGAATCACGTATGAATCACATTAAACACTCAGTAGATCTAGCGTTAACACTAAATGAAAATGCCTGGCTTTAAAATTTCATTTCAAATTCGTTCTTCTTCGTTCGTTTCAAATCAATTTCTATATTATCCGATTAATCAGCTTTCCAATTTATCTTTCCTTCTGCTCCCAGTCAGAAATATTTATCGTTTAACCTGTTTACCTTTATTTGATAACTAGTCATGTATTTCACTAGTTACAGTAGATAAATAAAAGTGTATACAGAGTGTCGGTAAAACAACAAATAATTGCCATCTTTTTCTACCCATAAAAGTAACCTCATTTTCGGAAAGGGCGTAGCATATGCAAAATGAGTAAAAGTAATGGTGTTTTACAATATGTCGAAGTGCATTTTAGTTATTTCACTGTATAAAAGCCTGAAATTGTGGAAAATCCTGTTATTCCCGTCAGGTATTACTTCTGAATAAAGTATTCATGAGTGTACGTGTTTATGGTATTTTTCCCGATCTTTCCACGTAGAATGTACTGGAACGGTTTTGCGAAAAAAAATCTCGAATACCCAACAGGAGAGATATTAAGCTCGCCTTGACCGTAAAACCAGTCTCGTCTCAAGTATGCTACAAGCGCGTGACATTAAACGTGCGATCAAATTCAATCTTGGAACGGACACAGGGAACTAGTCGATTCGGTTATTCGAGATACCTCTCACGGACATCGGTCTATGGAGCTCCTATGTTGCCACGAAATATCAGGGAATTCCACATATCCATGTATTTACACGCGACCTATCAAGATACATACTTCCTGCATTTGGTCTCGTGAGACTGACTAGTACATGGGAAATTTTGTAGAATTGAACTGTTAATGAATTGAAATGTTCGAACATAAAATTGTAATTTTTATAAATTGAAATTGAAATACAGTACAAAATGAAATCGTAATTCTGATAAATTGAAATATTGTTCGAAATTAAAATTGAAATATAGTTTAACAATAAAATTGAAATTTTCTTACAAACCATTCCCCTATTAGGTCGGTCGGAATGTCTTGTTTTATTTTTCAATCTATACTTAATATACAATATGCACATCTAAATAATATCAAAGATTTATAGAAAATGCTTAGATCATTATTTGCAGTTTTATAAAAAATCTTCGAAAACTTCCTTCATTCGATTTTGCAGCGAAGAACACGTAAATAAATATGCATATATATATATTTCAATGGAAATGCCACGGATCTCAATTAATTTCAGTAAAATACCAATCAAACTTCCGAGGTTTCTTCGTCGTTTATTTTTCCAATATTCCAACACTTTGACGAATCTATTGATTTGTAATTATTAATACGCATGAGCGAGTTCAGTGTCACTGATGACGCATTGCAGACTTATCAATATAGCCAGATAAGTTGTCACAAGCCTGGAATATTTTTGAAATTGTAAACAGAAATAATGGCGATCTATTTTTCAACGGAAACCACCTGAATGAATTTGTTTCAATATCTATGGAACGATTAACATTATTTCTACCGAAGGTGTCAAAAGACGCTTTTTGAAATTTTAACTTAAAATTATGTTCCCAGTTGAATAATTTTTCCTTAATTGAATTTTGGACGTTTCCTGTACTCAGTTTTATAATCGTTATTAGAAAAGTCGAAAAGTCAATTCAGAATATATGGCTAAGCTTGGAAAATAATTTTAAGTTAAAATTTCAAAAGATGTCTTCTGACACCTTCGGTAGAAATAGTGTTAACGCGCACACCTGTACACCGCAACGCGAAACTTCACGTTTTACGACAGAAAATAAAAAGGATTTTCAATATGTCCAGCCGTTAATACAACTTTACTCGAGTTCTTCCTGTTATACGCTCTTATCCATCTTTCATTTCAGCAAACAGCAACGTTCCATTTATTTTTTGCTATAATTCGTGGACCTTGAGCCGTTTTACGGATCATGAGATTTTCCCGTATGAAATTATTTTACTGCACTGTAAGTGCCGTAACGCGTTGCATACTTGTCGGGTAATTATTTTTGCACAATGAAATTCTCATTAACGAAAAGTGAACTTATTTCAATAATAATTACCTAACAGACCGTAAAGCCGGAATTTTAAATAAATTTAGGTTCATAATTACGACCTCGCGACGTTATTTCGTTTTATTCAAATGAAAAGCAAAAATTCACTTAGAGGAATTTTAAAAATTTTAAATAAATATGGCAATTGCAACTTTTATACGTTATCTTTACAACTGTGCGTATTAATTTCGAGCGTGACGTAACGTTCCAAACGTTCATTCGTGTTGCCCCATTAAAATGCAGAATAAAAATTCCATAAATGTAGGTTAATTATAGTTCTGTCATTTTCTACAGTTGTACATGTTAACGAGAAATTTGATATAAATTGTCAAATATTCACTCGCATCTCTCCAAAATAGAGAACGTAGAACAAGATTACAGAAGAAGCTAGGAAACAAAATCTTCAATCATCACAGGTTAATAATCGTAATCTCATCATTCTTATACCCATCTGAACCAAAACGAAATATAAAAAATATCAATTCAAAAAATAAAATATTCTACAAAACTTTTCGTCTTTTACCCACCAGAAACTCCGAGTTATCCTCTGATGAAGTAAGTAATCTCAAACTATAGAATGACAATGCTTCAGTAAAACTTCCTTATTTCCAGTGAAGCAACGAAACCTGTGTTATAAATCAAAATCCGTTACACACAACCGGTTTCTAAATTAGCAGAGACGATAGAAACCGTCCGAAAATTTGGAAATACGTATTCCATCGTACATGTACCGATATCATAGCGAATATCATTCGTTGATGACCTCGCGCGCCAATTTAGCTTGCCGGACAGCAGTGCATGGGTGCAATTCCAAGAATCTCATTAAACGTGTTCCACGTAATTAATTAGGCAGGTGCACGGAAATGAAATGGAACAGGAACGTCAATAATCCAATAGTTTACCTAGATAAAACGAACCAACGCATCGTCCCACATTCGCCCTGTGTTGGCACGATCATTGCTGATCCGAGGAACTTTACCCGCAGCAACTTCACTGTTGCCACCTTGACACGATCAGGTGATCCCTAGTAAATTCAGCTTGAACATTCCTGTTTAAACCTTTGCACTGGAGAGCTGACTCTCAGTCACCATTTGATTTAACACTAGAACTACTGAGTAATTAATACGATTGATATGTAATTCCTCTAAAAATTGTAACGGTAGATTAGCTTTCGTTTGTTTAGACATTCATCATAGCATTCAAGTGAAACTATTTATTTTCAACATCATTTCGAATATTCAATACTTTTAAGATATCAATGTAATTGCGAAACAAGTAAATCATTGAGAAATAATTATGAAAGTGAGATTCTTCATAAGAAAGTATCAGTATAAAGAATAGGAACTTAAATTAACACTAGAACTATTGAGTAATTAATACGACTGACACGTAATGTAATATCTGTAATTTATTTATTAAAGTTTCGGCTTCTAGAAATAATTTAATTACGAAACCATTTCGTAATAAATCTCATTGAAACGAGTCACTGACTTTTCCATTCATACGAATTGCTCTTTTCCAAACGTTCATTTAATTGTGATGTTTCAATCAAATCATTTATTCATCGGACCGCGGTATTTTCATTCAACATAGATCTTTTTAAATTAAAGTAAATTCAAATAGGGATCTTCAGCAAGCAAAAAAATTTATTCTTATTGTGTAACTTCCCACAAACGTTTGGTATAGACATCAATGAACATGATATGGCAATACATAATATTTTTATATTAATTCCGGCGCCAGTCAACTTTGACCTCTCTGATTTCAACAAAATTCATATCGTTCTACATTTCAAATAAGTGGTCGCTATAATATTTTGGAAACTTAATTTTTTTTCTACTAGGTGTTCTCTTGAAAAATATAATGAGTAATATTTTTAAACGATTTCTCCTTATTTTTCATAATGATTAGTTTAATAGAATATTTTTACATACTAATGTAAAAAGATAATTATAATTATCAATCTTAACTCAATTACTCTCTCACAAACCCCAGTAATCAAAATAAATAAAAAAAATTATAATAAACTGACGAAGATGCTTTCAAAGATTATTTCTTATAGAATTTGGAATGTATATTCTTTTCTAAATAAGATACTACCGCTAGATTAAATGTGTTCTATATATTAATTAATTTATGCATACATCAATAACAAAAATATTAATAGTAACGTTACACGTTACTAATGTTTCGAAGATTTAAGCACACCAGTGTGTCGTATTTCAATCATTACTATTAATAACTTCAAGATGTAATTAATTACTGTATGAACATTCTACGCGCACATATTTTGTGTAAAATTGTAAATTATAGTGAACATTTCAACCTATGACACGACGTAGAGACTGCTTTAAATCTAGGTATAGTTTTAAATCCCCTTTCATAAGATGACGTAAAATAATTGCAAAAGACCTGTTTGTAATATAGTTTCTAAGATGCTCTACGCGATGAGCCAATACGCGTGAATCACAATCGATGTCTATGAATCGTGTGTGTTTCATTTACTAGAAATAGAAAGAAGTAATTGCTTAATAGAATTCATACGTCGAATGACGTATAAATACGACACACATTAAATACGACACAGATTGTAACATCGAATTCTACGTTCTATTTATTGTTTTGTATTAAATAAATACTACCCAATCATTTCTACATTTTAATAAAAGTTTCGATGTTACATTAATATTTTAATAACGATTCATAATTATGTTAAAGCACTTTATAAGACATCACAAAGCAGAAATTGTATTTTTATATTTTATTCTATTTTAAATATTATTTATTTCAAATTTTCGTTAAATTCGAAATAATAAT